CGAGGAAGGTGTTCTTATAAGGGCCCTGTCAAGCCACAAAATTCCGACCAACACAAATGGACGACCGTTACTGACGCTCGTACTGCTTCATTTGCTAAGCAAATTATGAAGCGAAGGTACTGGTATGAAGTGGCCGTGCTGCTGCATGCATATATGAGTACACATATGCAGCCGTACCATCGGTAGCGGTGATTGGCAAGATGCCTACGGGAAACTCGTCCGAAATCGATTTACAAGTCACTGAGAACGGAGGCTTTTTCTTCGCAGGATTTTGACCGTTCTTTCGCCATTTCCCCACTATACAGCGCCCTACTAGCATTTTAGGCTAAGTAGGAAACCATCGTGCCAACTGCCTTTAAGGCTGCGGATAGTGGTTTGTGGGGGTTAATATTACTAAATCAAAATAATTTCGTGAATTGCACCTTTTTAAGGGCAGCCTTTCTAACGTATGAAGTGAGCTGTTTCTTACACTGTTCAGGAGGATTCCGGCCCCGTGATGACAACGAGACAGTGAACGAGGTCGTCAGTAACTGGGGAGCTGCTCAAGCAATGTTGCAAAAGTACGTGAAATATCACATACAACAGCCCCCAAACGGCTACACTACATCTCTATGTAGGACTCCTCATTATATTCTGAAACGAATAGTGTACCCAACGAAAACAGCTATTTTCTGTAGTAATCATTAAAAAATAACAGGAACCAGCCTCCTCCGAAACCGCCTCCACCGCCACCACCACCACCAAAGCCGGCTGCTCCACCACCAGGGATGGGTCAGTTTCGCATATCTTATTCTTGTTATTTCCGTAATCTCGATTGACTACCATTAAGGAAAAGTTGCTTAGTAGTAACCCTCAGCCATCGCACTTTCCATAAGCTCTACTAGTATCTATAGAAGTTACCCACAAAAAGAGGCTTGCCTCGAACCATGTCCGTGATGGTACTACGGGATCCTGATCATAAACATCGCATTTATTTACGTGAGAGAAGTCTGGCGCCTGCGCTATAGGCGCTGGCACCACACCATCTCAAATCACTTAATCATCAGAAGCTGGCGCCAGCGCCTACACAGCGCCACACGACTTCGTCCTAGTTTTTGTTCCCCTCTTACCTTTCTTGCTTTAGGAAAAATGCGTAAAGCGAACGACTTCGAAACGATTGACGAATGTGTCAGTAACTGGGGTGCTGTGCAGGCGTTGGCGAAGAAAAAAGGCGCATAAACTACTGACCGGGCTAATAAGAAACACATTTGTCATTAAGCAAAAGTGCATTTAGTGTTGTGACTTAATAAAGAAGAAAGTCGTGACGATTAAAGCTCATCAGTGCATTCATATCTGTTTTAAAATGTTTCTCGTGATTCAGTTACCAAATGGGATCTCGCATAACAATTTAGAATTTGGTACTGATTTTTCACTCATTTACTCTTCTCGTCATTTAGTAGTCCACATGGCTATGCAAAGGCGAACTATCTCAGTTTTCAGGTTTTTTTCCCCTTGGCATAGAGCTGTTCATTAGATACTTCTCAATTCGTCGCTTGACTTGCTGCAGAGGTGATCAACAGGGCACATCATTGTTGGGGATTCCCCAACAGGGAGGCTCGTATTTGGCCGCTGGGAGAGGGGGGTCGTAATGAGTGGGGCAGTCAGTAACGAGCAGCGCAAAGGTGTCAGAGTACTGATAGAAGTTACCCAGGGTTACCCAGAAAAAGTCCTGTATAGTGAAACTTGCTTTCTAGAGAACTGGTTCCTAGAGGGATGTGTTGAACAACATATCGAAAATTTCAGTATTCGCAATCCAATCACTGGAAAAATTAATAAGTTGTACATTATTCGCAACAGCGTAGATTGGCTAACGCGGCGCCCCGCGCCCCGGCGCCAACCTGTTTTTTTTCTTTCGACAAACAATAGGACTACCATGTCGTTCGTATCAGACACTTTCCAGCAGTTGCTGCCAAAGCATGGCGCATCCAGAAATGAAGCAAATGTGCGGTGAACCAACTACTGCTTGTTCATATTCCACGAATGGATGCATTCTCGATGCATTCCTGGACATCCGAATAGCCCAACTTGGACGGTAGCAGAGAAACACGTTTCGACAAAGCAGCGGGGTGTTCTAGGTTGGAGCACAGCATCCTGTGCGGTGTAGATCCGCACAGCCATTCTCTTTACCAGTAGTTTCCGAAAAGGAATGAGGAGCCCTTAACGTCGCCCAGTTAACACGGCAGTGGCTAAGAAAATAGTATATAATCGTTATAACTTTTGTAATTTCCAGCTGTTTTATGTCGGGCCTTTACGGCTTCATCTAAACTAAATTCCTGCGAATAGATGGAGCATTTTTGCTGGGATCCTGTCTTGTGAACCTCGGAATGTTTGGAGTTCCACTCATACAGGGAGGTGACGGCTGGGTGAACGATCAGTGCTGGATAAGTGCTCTAAGAAGCACAGCGGGAATTGTTTAAACGTTGGCACCTGGTTTGTCTTGCCACGCTAGGTGTAGGAAGAGCATGGCAAGTAAAGAGTCGAAAAAAACAAGCGGGGCGGTTTTTTGTATTCGATCCACCTTCTAAAGGGAAGAGAGGATAGGCAGACTTGACCAAAATCCTCAACAATGGTGGCCCTGGTGATCAACCCGATTCAAATACAGTTCCCGCGATCAAGTGTCTTCGATAGTGGCTGTTCAGTTATGAAGCGGTAGGTGATAAGTGTTATGAAGCGGTAGGTGATAAGTGATACCTCGAGTAAGAGGAAAGGAACTGAAAATCACATAGCCTCGTGCACGAGTTGCTGCTCACTCGACACCCTGCGCTCTGTGCAACTCTGGCTCACAAACCGATTTTTCACATCTTGGTACTCAGTGCCATCCGTGCAAAGAAAAGAAAACGAGGAATAACAAAAGAGGGGAGCAAAGCTCGTAACAGAATGTAACTTTCGAAAAGTCTGCGTATGAAGTTAGCAATACAGTAAGCAATGCATGTCAAGCTTCTGCACTATCTAATTGCATCGTGGCTTGAACAGATCTCACATTGCGAGATTGACTGCTGCTGGTTGTGTGTACTCCCACTGAAAAAAAGTAATAATGAAGAGCAGAATTACTCATGATGTGGTCGGCAAGAATGGACACGCAGGAGTTCCGCCGGCCGCTCCAACAAACGACAACTGAACGCCCCTGCCTCAGGTGTGAAAAGGACGTTCGTTGGGTAGGCGGTCCTACTGAACGGGTGTTAGGGCTTGCAATAGCACCCTGTAGGGTAGGGCCGACATCCGAAAGTAGGGATCATTGTTTCATTTCTTCCTCTGCTTTTCTCGTTATTGAAATGTAGCTTGTAACAAAGCCCTAAAGCGAAGGACTTCGCTATCTTTCCATCTTCCATCATGTTCAGTTCTTGATCTTTTTTACCACGTTTACGACGATGTCAGACAATGGTGGGCGACAGCCAGTCTGTCTCGGGGGACGGTGTCAGACAATGCTGTCTGACAGTATACTTGTTCCAATAATAAAGATGTGCAAACAACCAAGTTCGTTGAAAACGTGTCACTAGGGGTAGTTAGTCCCCCTGAAACGAATATCACAGTCACTTGGGAAACTGCCTGGCGCCCGCGCCACAGGCGCCAGCGCTATAATACTCTAAGTCATCGAATTTGCTTAAAACGTAGGCACAGGGGTAGCTTGACCTCCTGAACACGAATATCGCATTCGCGTGTCACGAAACCGCATGGCGCCCGCGCTACAGGCGCCGGCGCCAAAATACTGTAGGTCACAAATTCGCTGAAAACTTCCCTCCTGAGGTAGTCCGACCCCTTAAATATGAATATCACACCTATCCAACATGCAGTTTCGTGCAAAATGTGATATTCGCGTTCAGGAGATCAAGCCACAATTCAAACAACATTTTAGCGAATGTGAATTGATGTGGAGTGAATTGATTTGAGACTTTGGCGCAAGCGCCTCTAGCGGGGGCGCCAGGCACTTTGATGCCAGACGATTGGAAAATTCATTTTTAAAGGTCCAACCATCCCCAGACTCCATTCTTCTGCCGAACTGCCTTCAGAGAAAAAATCCGGTAAAAACTGGTCCGGTTTTGGAAGACTGGGGCAGTAAAAGATGAATTATTCCGAAGATTCGGGGCAATATCCTCGTCTCTGGCTTAGGCTTGGGACGTATTTCT